TATCCAGTCATGTTTTTGAACTTGAACAGGATTTATAAAACACAATTCATTTGACAGTTTTAATCACATGATTATTGTGATTATTGGATATTCTGCATTATGATTGGCTTGTTTAATTTTGGGGGACAGCTAACCTGAGGGGGGGTTACGTTAAACAACTAATTAAATTTAAATGGCCTTACTACTTATATAATAAAATGAAACAGTAATAAACTAAATCATAATGATCAAATTCATATTAAAATAAGTTCTGTTGTAAAAATAACCGAAACATTACGTTCAAATTCAAATAAATAATAAACCTATATTGAAATACTATGATATAACATAACTTCTGTTTAAAATACCAAATAATTACATAAGAAAGAAAACCTGCACTACATACAATAATTACTATAAAAAGTTTCTGACTTTCACTCACACACCATTACTAAAAATTTACATCATAATAATATATACACAAACAAACAATACAACTAACATATAACTAAAAATAACAATAAACCATAAAAACTTCAAATAATCACTTAAAAAATTAAATAACTTAACATAAAATCTATTACAAATAATAAAAACTCTAAATTATAAACAACCGGCACATTCTTTTATTGTTGATACGTCAGATGACAATATCAAGAACTTATTTGGCAATAAAGAATGGAATGAAATCCTAAATACAAATAAAAAAAGGGCACCCGGAATTGATGAAAATTTAGCCAAACATTTGCTAAATTACAAAAAGAATACTCCGTCAGAGATGCGGGAACAAGTAATGAAGCCTTGGTTTCAGACTATGTATAACCAAGAACAACATTATGATTACCAATATATACACCAGGTTTTTACTCATATGTTAGATGAATATGAATCACCAAAAAATAGATTAACGCAACAACATTCGGAAGGATGGTATGCAACAAATATTTGGAGTATGTTAATTGACAAGGCATTTTTAAATGTTCTCAATATAGAACTTGTTTGTGAAGACACATGTAGCATAGCATCAAGTAATCGAAAAAACGATAATGAACTATATAAAATAAAAGGACAGAGGAAAGCTATTGGACGTAGAATTGACGGTATTTTTAAAAATACAGTTAATGGATATGAATACGGAGGTATCGAAGTTTCCAAAATTTGTCAAGGACCACATGAACGCAAAAATTTGGGTGATTCCTTAAAACTCTAAACTTTTAAATGACATATTTCATCAACAATCAAATGTAATAAACCATAATGAAGATATAGTCAAGAAGATGGAAATAGTGGGTTTATTACATTCACGCCTTCAATTGCAACAACTCCTAATGGATTATGGTGGTGGTTCCTGTTTACGTCTTAAAAAAGAAGATACAATAAGTGTTCCGTTACATCTTGGTGATGTGATGGAACTTATCACTATGATTTCTAATATACTTCGGGCAAAATTACGTATAAGCCATTGTATTAAATTATTAAAAAAAACTGAGCCTGAGGGTGAACTGCTTTTGCAAGAAATT